CTTGATATTTAAAGGTAAGGATCTTCGTTTGTGAATTGTTATTACTTCACTCTTTTCTCTTGTCCTTCCAGATTTCTCGTGAGAAGACATTGTCAAGGAGATCCGGTTCTCTACCGACACTCGAGGAGTGTGAACAGCAGGAAGGTTCTCTACCTACACTTGGAGAAGTGTGAAAGGATGAAGGGTTCTCTGCCCATACTTGGAGAGTGTGAAAGGACGAAAGGTTCTCTGCCTACACTTGGAGAGTGTGAACAGCGGGAGGTACTCTGCCTACACTTTGAGGGTGTAAAAGGACGACGATTCTCTACAGCACTGAGTAGTGGTAGAAGAGAATTTTTGAGAAGGCTTCTCCGCCTTGCTGTGGGGGCAAAAGGAGATATACTAATTGGTAATAATGCAATACCTGAAGTGGGAGACTTCAGGGAGTGGATGTAGGTCGTGTTTGACCGAACCATTATAAATCTTGTGTCTTTTTATTTGTCACTGCTTATTTACTTTACTATTTTTGTGTGATTTATGGTTTTAAAATCTTTTTCAAAAACTTCATTAAAAAAGTTTGAATCGGTTTAAAATTTTAAGAGGGAAAATAGTTTTTTTAATTACCAATTCACCACCCTCTTGATTAGCCACTGGGACATAAACTTAGGTCTAACAACCAAATTCATAATTAACAAGTCTCAACAATTGCTTCACTTCATTTGTACCTTCATAAGTAATGCCTAAATAATCCTAGATACTCTTAACAATAATGCAAGTAGAAACACACATGTAATACTTGGATTTTAAAGTATAAAAAAATAATGCAAATATTTCACATTTAGTTATGCAAGATCCCTATCTTATATACTACATTCAATGAATAAGATTTCAATTTTAGTACCATTAACAATGTGAAAATAAGCAACATAGCCATCTTGTATCTTATGCCACAAACTTTTTAGAAATAAAATGAGATATTTTCAAATAATGGTAGATGATTTATTAAATAACCCTCAACAATATTTTTTTCCCAAAGTGTGCCATAGATCTTTTCTTAAGATTTTTAAACCACAAATTCAAATAACCCTCTCTGATATTAATTGAAAGTTTAAGAGATAGTTGTTGAACCACTTGAATTATGAAAGGTATACCAAGCAGATGATGAATTAGTATTAAAAAAATTCTTTCAAAAAACCCCCTTTCAAAAAATTAAACCAAATTCACTACTTAGATTCAAGATCAGATTTTGTAATGTGGAAGCTAATAATAGGAAAACCATATATTAATTTTCTGTTTTGGTTTTGTAAAAAAATGAATTGCAAAATATTTTTCTTCTTTTGATTTTCAGATTTTTATTTCTTTTTCTTTTTTAACAAAAGTTAATTCCAAAGCAATCTCAAAATAACAATATTAATTTCCAAGTCAATTTTGGAAGAAAGAAAATGTGTGAGAAAAATAAAAATATAAAAAATAAAGTGCCGAAAGAAATAAGAACAAACACATCATAAATTTATAGTGGTCATCAACCTTAATCTATATCCACTCCCTGGAGTCCCTGGAGTCCTCATCTCCAGATATTGCATTAAATATTTTAGTCTATCCTTTTGTCCATACAGTAGGGCGAAGAAGCTTTACAAGAATCACTTTCACCAACAGTGCGCGCAGTTGAGAGCTAAATCACTTTCACCTTTCTCGGTGCGGCATAGAAGTTGAATCCCTTTCACTTTCTTCGGTGCGATAAAGTTGTTAGTGGCCGTTTGACTCCAAGAACTTCTTCTCAAAATTTCACTCAAGAAAATTTTTACACAAGGAGGAACTATGTAGATGTTGACTAGAGCAATCATGTGAGAAACACCCTCTCACACTGTCTTGCACTCACAAGACTCTTCTCCCTCTGCCTCAACTACTCTCTCTCTTCAAACCCTATCTTATAGAAGAACCAAGCCATTAATTGCCAAAAGACATCTCAAACAAAATAAGAGATATTTAAATAGTATGTCTCAAGAAAACCCCAATTTGTAATTTAGTTGTCATTGTTCGTACAGTGAGATCTATAGATTATATAGTACGGTTAGTTTAATTCTCCTTTTGTAGTATTGTATAATGAATAATTTAATTGTATTATACCAATGAATAGTAGTACTATACGATTAGAATAACTCAATATCGGATCGTACATGCGAACAAAAATCATCCATAAGGCCCTCAAGTGATTCATATAGTATGATTTTTGATCGTATTGGACGAACAAAATTTCATCCAAAGACCCCTCGACGTAACTCGTACAATACGATATATCATCGTACAATACGATATGTAATCAATCAAAACTAATTAGATTGCTTAATTAACTAGTCTAATTATGCAATGATTTAAATGATTGTACAGTATGAAGTGATTCATACATTATAAATAGTTTAAAATTGCTTATTTTAGGTAAGCTAAATTCGACGGTTAGGTTTCTGATTATAGTTGATTGTCCAGTACGATGTATGATTGTACTGTACGATTAGTTATATGTGAATTTTAATTTTTTATTTGAATTAAATATTTTAATTAATTTATGTTTGAACTAATTATACAATACAATTGAGATCGTATAATATTATGAAAATAAAGAATTTTTTTTATTTATTTATTTTTCATTCCTCACGTGTGTGTGCACACAATTGTTAAGCTAATATACACATTTATATGTCAAAAGACACAAGAAAATAAAAAGTACATACTCTTGTATAAATCAAACCTATATTATCCAATCAAGATTTTCTAACCTATATATATATATATATATATATATATAGGATAAATTAAATATAATTTAATAATATTTGTTACTAACAAAACACAAATTTGGCACTTGGATTGCAACAACATAATCCCACATCGACAATCCACTAGCTCTGTCATAACAGGATCTCAACTCAATTGCCCATTGGTAGGGGTGTCAATATTGGACCTGACCCGAAAATTTTGAGTTTGGGTTGACCCGAACCTGAAATAGATCGGGTTTGGGTTCAACAATTCGACCTGTTTCAAAAATCAGGTATGGTTGACTTGTTGACCCGAAATTGACCTGTTTTGACCCGAAAACCCATTTTGACCCGGCAACCCGATATTGACCAGGTTTTGACCCAAAAAGAGAAGATTGTCCTGTTTTTGGACCGAAAAACTAGCAGTTTTTTTTACCGTCCCAGTTCATTTAGGGTCGGTCATATTGACCCGAACCCGGAGCGGGTCGGGTTCGAGTCTGGAAAATCGACTTGTTTACAAAAATAGGTCAGGTTCGGGTTGACCCGAATAGTGTCGAGTTCGACCCGTGACTCAAAATTGACACCCCTACCTATTGGCTCTAGCATAACATAATTCCATCTCGATAGCCCACTCGCTCTGGCATTATAAAATTTTACCTCGATATCTCACTAGATCTGGCATAACATCACATCATCTCAAATTTTTTTCACCATTATACATATTTTTTTATGCATTTCATTAAAATTAAAGCATAATTATACTAAATTCAAAAATTACAATAGGCAACATAGGCATTATTGAGCATAAATTTATAATTTTAAAATATAATCAAATTTTTAGAGATTGTATACAATATCATTTTAAGACTTTAATGATACTACGACACTATTTTTCAGAGTTCATGTTATTTTCTATTCAATAAAAATAGTACAAATTTCAAAACACCTAGTGAAAAAAATAATAAAAAATATTCAAAATATTCATAATCTCAATCTCTATAATATATAAAAAGTTTGACCGCTAAAGTTTTATAAATATAAAGTTATTTACATTTTTTTTGTAACGAAAATATTAATTTTATTTTTATCAAAAGAATCCCAAAAATATCGAATTATTAAAAATTGAGATAAGCAAAACATAACATACCTAGATCCGAACTTCTTTCTCAAACAGGCCCACGGTTAAAAATGACCCGAAGCCACTCAAAATGGGCTTTCTCTCTAGCTATAAACCTCTCATTCTCTCTCTTGATTCGGCTAGCACGATGTTCAAATGAGTAAATAGTGGATTTAAAATTAATTTAATGTGTAGTTAGTGGGCTAACGTTGTGGTTCTACCACCTATTGCTGTGACGCTAATTCAAAAAATCCAAATTCCAGAGCTTAGAGTGCTGCAATGTCACTATATGACGTCCGGTACCTTAGCAACATTGACTCTCGGACACCCAACATTGAGGCGCTCAAATAGTGGCATTTTTTCAGATTTTGCCAAAATTCACTACAGATCTTTGGGACTCATTCTAAAAAATATGCAACATTTTTCATGCACCAAAACACTCTCAAACATATACAAATGGACTCAAATAATAAAATTTCAAATATTTGCATTTTCCCGCTGGGGTCAAATTGGTATGAACTAAAATCCTAAAGATCACACTGTGAGGGTATTTTATAATTTTCTCATTAATCATTTGACAATTTTTAATAGATTACTCATACTTATCAAAAACATATGTTTCGGAACTGTGCATCTCATGATCAAATATAATTGATCGATACCATCAAATATTCAAATTTTATTCTAAAAGAGTGGTTTGAAAAAGCTATTCATGATGATGTCTCTAAATACTTATTGAAATATAGTGTCATAAAACCAATTGTTACAAATAAGTCAGATGTTGACATTATGAACTTCTTATGATGATGTTGGAGGAAATATTTCTAACACTATATTTCAAACACTCTTATGAAATATTTCTAACTTAAATTAGAAGCTCCTCAAAATATCTCAATAATGAATGAGGCTTAACCCATGTTGGGCCAGGCCACAAGCCTCCTGCATTCAATATGAAATCCATCCATATGGGCCGACAAATATGCAATCTTGTATATATATCTATGTGTATATCTTATGGTTTCAAACCAAATCCAGCTTGAAAAAGGTAATCTCACCGAAAGTTACTGCATCCTGTCTTTACTTATCCACCCTTTCTCCAGGCTTATATAGAGACAAAGTCATTGGATACTTCTACTCCTCTCTGTCTTTACTAGACTTCTATGCAGAATTTTGGCCAAAGCCATCCAACTTTAAACCTCAAAGAAATCTCTCTTCTCTTTTCTTCCTTTCCTATTCATACTACTCCTGCTTCTCAAATGGACTGCAAGCTATGCTTTGATCAGTGGAGAAAGACAGCAGACCCTACAGTTCAGAAGCTTGAAGAAGCTTCAGAAATTGCTGATCAGAATTGCTTGAAAGGAGGTGATGATGAGGTCTCCTGCAATGGATTTTCGACTCCCAAAGCTCGAAGATTCCGCATACCAGAGCGAATTCCGTGCCCACCGGCGCCGAAGAAGCGCCGGCTTTCTCCTGTTCTTTGCTCTTACCATAGGCCTGCTGTCTCATTCTTCACCCACCCAGAACTGGAGCTGTTCTTCTTGGTTGCTCTCCATGATATCAGAGTTTAGTTCTATCTTAGTGTGTTAGACATATATCCATTTATGCTCTCATGTTCTTCTTGGTTGCTCCTTTGTTTTTCTCAAGGTAGTGATCAACCTTCTGGTTTGTGTTATTGTATTAGAATTTATGGTGTCTTAGGTTTTGTTTTAGACAGCTTTCGTAGTGCTTTTTAAAATGACTTTTTTATACAAAAAATTTAAATCTAAGAAATTTTTGTACTAAAAAGCTGTTTTAGAAAGCAAAAAGAAAGCTGTCACAAACGAAGCCTTAATAGCCTTTCAGGGTTTAGTTAGTTTCTAACTAGTTTAGTTTTGCTATTTGCTCAGTCTAAAATCTTAGCTTGCTGTGAATATTTAGTTTGTAACTCTGATCATGAAGCAATTTTAATTTTGATTTTTTTTTGTGTGGAAAGACAAGCAAATATTTATATTATAAATCATTTCTCTCATAATTAAAATATCAATTAATTACAATAAATAATTAATCTTTTAATTGTTTGGCATGTTCAAACTTATAGTATTTTTAATAGATTTTTATATGAATTAAAAGAATAATTTGAAAATTTAAGGAAATGTAATATTATATTTAAAGAAAAGCTTCATTGTTGATTTATGTTTCATTTGAGACTTTTTTTTAATATTATTTAAAATAGTTTTTTTCTTAATATTTTGTAAAGTTATTTTTTAGTATAAAAATTTCTTCAAAGCATAAAAAAATAATAATCTAAAATTGTTTCAAATGAACACATCTTTTGGGAGAGCTATCTTACTACATCTTAAAGCAGCTTTCAAGAACAAACAATTTAATTTTTATTCTAGAAAGTTGCATTAAGAATCAGTAAGAATGTTGTCTCAAACGAGACAAAAGTCTTAGGCTTCATTTGGGACGGCTTTTTTATTGCTTTTTAAAACGGAGTTTTAGTATAAAAATAAAAAATTTTGTACTAAAACTCTATGTATATATATATATATATATATTAATAAAATCTAAATATATTTGATGCGCCACCAAAAAAATGCCTTATTTGGATATGAATCTTAAGACATATTCAAGTTGGTAACTTTCGAGATTAAATTTGGGATCATCTGAATTTTAATTTCAGCAAATTTATAGTTAAACTAAACGTCTCGATGGGACAAACCCAATGATATTCAAATAGGTTCAATCCGAGCTCAATTGGGCTCAAATCGATGACTTGGTATATTTAGAAGCTTCAGAATATTGATTGCGTGATCAAATAATATGCAATGTGGCATGCTTATAGTTGAATTGAGCGGTTCGACGAGACGAATCCAACGAGTCCAAGATTGATTAGTTCTGACATCATTAAGGCACATAAATGCTTGATGAATGTTCTATGATCGAGGGAATCAATATGTGTTGTTCTATTGAGTACTACGAATTTGATTTGAATCTTCTTCATATTTACAAGACATTTCACTCTGAAAATCTATTAATAGGTCTCCACTTCTCACATGAAAGGGGCTTGTACTATTTTGGAGAGGGTTAGAGATCAAGAAAGCTCTAAGGCTTAAAATTTTTTGAAACTCCACCCTCTAGCACTGCTATCGAAAAACCCACATCACTTGATCACCGTCGTTAGTCTTTCACCTGTGAATTGTCGCCGGACGACAACCTAACCACCACTGGGCCTATGCCCGACCACCATCGCAAGACATTTGCCCAACCGCCATCGATAGACCTTTGCCCGACCATTACCGTTGGACCTTCATCTGGCCTCCATTGATAACACTCATCGACCAACCTTTGCTGCCAAGCCATCACCTGATTGCCTTCATCGACCTTTAAACGTACCTTCATTTACTGTTCTTTCAATCTCAGTTGCACGCTAACTATGGTCCTTAGATCACTGACGTCCAACTGTAGTCTTCGGACCATCTTTCCCCGACTACGGTCCTCGAACCAACATTGACCGACCATGGTCCTCAAGCTAACATCGCCCGATTACAGTCCTTAGACCACCGTAACACGACTACGATTTTTCAACTACAACCCTCAAACCATCATTATCCGACTACGACCCTCGGACCACCATCGCACGACTATGATATTTGAATCACTGTTACTCTATACAGTCCTTCGAACCTCTGCAGGCTATTGACCATGGTCCTTAGACCATCGTTATTCGACTACAATCCTCACTCCTCAAACCACCTTACCTAACTATGGTCCTCCAAACCTCAGTCTCTTATCAACTACAGCCTTTAGGTCATTATCAACTATAGCCTTCAGGCAATCATTGTTGGACTACGATCCTCATACCACAATCACCCGACTACTAAAAATCTAGAATATGGAAGTAATTAAAACAATTTCATTTCATCAAAATATAAATATAATCATCCAATTAACTATTGAGGCATCTATACATCAAGATGAATAAAATTGGATAACAAAAATAATACTTAAACTCAAACATATAAAATCATACTCCTACACTTGATCTACTATGTTGGGCCCTTTCCTTTCATTGAAATTTTAGAAAGAACAAAATGAGCACACCTAGCTTAGTATACTCTCTATCTTACTAATCATAGATATCAATATCCAATACAAAGTTAACACTTATGCTTAGACTGCCACTTTTACAGAAGTTCATTTGTATTTTACTTTCACTTTTTATCAGAATTCATATAGAGATTCAAAATTTTATGATACTTAATTTAGAATAATTCTTAAATTTAATTCATTAAATAATTAATAGATGCAATATAATGATTATAATGCACATGACATGATGTCTATTTATAACACTACTTCCATTTATTCCTCCCTTTGGCAGTGGGGTCAAAATCAAAACAAAAAGGTGACATATAATCTCCTACATCAAATGGGGCTAGAAACTCTCTCATATTCACAATAGGCAAATGGGATCAAAACATAATATATAAGACACATTCAACATAACAGAGAATGTACTTTTCTACTGATCAGAACATCTTTAATGTCATGTTACCTATATGTCAAAATGAATTTTCGGGTCGGGTTCAGTCTAACCTAAAACTAGCCTAAATTCAATTGACCCTATATGAACACGACCCGATTAGGCAAACATGTTAGAAATTCAAATCCAGACCAACCCGCCCCTTACCCTGGTCGATTCGCTAACCCGCAAGCAGCCAAACTCTAACAGAGCAGGCACGACAGCAGGCACGATTGTAGGTGCAGGACTGCTACGAGCAAGCTTGTGCGGTGCAAGTTAGTGCGGGTGGGAGCTAAAAATTTTGACGAAATTTTTGGATGGAATATGTGACGGATGTTGGTATGAAAAGCCGCCACAAATTTACGATGTTAATTTCCGCTGCAAAGCCGCCGCTAATCCACTTCAAGCTATCCTATCTAATCACGTGCATCCATTTCATTGCTCGTTCGTTCGACTTCGCTCCTCTTCCCTTTACGATGTAAAATGTGGCGGATTCACTTGTCCTAAGATCGCCACAAATTGCGGTGGTATTTCGACTGCAAATCTGCCGTTATTTGCGGCGGAATTTGCAGCAAAAATGCGGTGGTTTCTAATACGAGTACGACATTTTTTTTATTTTAAATCCATCCCAAAAAATTTGCGATAGATAATGTCCGACACAAATATTTTTCTGACGTGACTTTTAGCTTCAGTATATGATATATCAGCCTCCGCAAGCTTATTTATCGGCAGATTTGACTTGTTTTGCGGAAGTTTTTTCCGCATGACATATATTACTTGTCTGCAGTGTACTATTTTCAAGAAATTTTTATATTAAAAAGCTTTTGTAGAAAACAGTCAGGAATTTGTTCCAAACAAAACCTAAAATAAAGTTTAACTTAATAACGCTCAATTTATTATTTTCTCCCCTAAAAAACTCATAAATTCATAATCGCAAGCAATATGCTCTCTTGCTCTTAGGATAATTAAACATATCAAATATTTTAATCCAACACTTGACCTTCATTAAAATAAAAATTCACTAATTTTCTACATAAATTTTTATCTAAAATTATTTTGTGTTTTGTAACTAACTTTATACCTATTAATTTATCTCTATATATATACTCTTACATATTTATATCATATTTTCAATTTAAAATATTGAATAATAAAAGCATGCATATACTATACGTTATTTTTATATACGTACTGCTTCTGTTGATCACGAGCCTACCGTATGTGCGGTGTTGCATGGGATTGCTACGCACGTATAATGTACTTGACGAATAATTATTCTTTAAAATAGTCCATCAACACATAGATTTGATGTAGATATAATACATAGGGAAGTGTCGCTTTCATAAGCAAAAATAAAAAATAAATAAATAAAAATTAAAAACAATTAATCCGGCATTAGATCTCAGTTTTTTATTCCCTAAAATTTACTTATAATTGCTAATTTTTTATTTTGCTTTATTTTTCATATCATAATTATAAACCTGCTTGACTACATACGATCGACTTTCTTGTTATTTTCTTATAGCTTTTCAGAAAGTTTTAGGTGGTAAGTAGATTTTTACAAATAAGTGGCAGATGGCGGTCGGTAGCGACATAGAACTCAATTGGTGGTCGATAGTGATGTGGCGGAAACATCTAGGGTGAGATTGCCAACGACCGATAATAAGCAATAGTAAGATGGGCGACGACTACGATTGTGACAATAACAGAGAATTTATAATATATTTGAAAATCGATTTAGTATAATGATCTTCAAAGATATCAAAATTGAACTAGATTATACATTTCAAATATTCTACTTCTTTTTATGAATATCAATATTTTTGAAACACGGATTTAAAATACTCTACACCTCTTTGATGGGTTAATTATTCTGTTGGGTCGAACGCCGTTCGGAGACCAACTAGAATGCGCCACATCACCTCTTCGCTGTGTACTGCGGCTCGGTACTGTTGACATGACTGCACCTGATTCGTCTCCAGACATAGAATTACGTCCAACCTCTACAAAGAGTAATATTTTTTATCTTGAGCCCCTTAATGATATGAGATAAATAACATAATTATAAAGTCAAAAACCTTATGATTATTTTTTTCATAAAGTGATGTGTATAAAGGACGGTCAGGGATTTTAATGGACAAAGCCGTCCTTATTGACTTCTTTTGACAAACGGGTTTCGGATGTTGACTTGTTGATCTTTTACGACACGAATCTCAGTCGGCCCATTTAAAACTAATAAATAAATAGTACCTCAACCGGACGGTAAATGGGCCGAACCGTAGCAACTTGAGCTGGGTCAGAATAGTTATTCGGGCCATTAATTACTCACCAGCCAAGATTTTATCGTGGTGAAAAAAAAAAACTGAAAGTATTTTATTTTACAGGAAAAAATAATATTTATTTTAAAATAAGAGGGAATATTATT